AGTTATGTCTGGGATCTAGGGAGGATACCGTGACACTAATAAAGTTTTAGCACTTTATACTTTAGTTAATAATACATCTACTAATTAACTTTTAATATACTAAGAAAAAAAAGTAAATTCCTTTACCTTTTTAAGTAGCATACACTACAGGCAAGTTGCTTACAAACCTAAGTTACTTACTTTTACTAAAACCTTACTAAACTACGTTTTTTACACTAATGCATTCCTAACAACACTACTTAGACATGCTAAAAGAATGTTAGATATAGCTTACTCTTTAGGCTTTTAAATAAAACGTAATACTTTTAAAGTAACATGCTATAGCTATATAAAGTCTTTTAAAAGATAATAAATAACTAATACACTAAATAACCTTTATAAGCTAACTCTATAAGTAACTTAAAAAAGCTAGATAATAATAAAAAGTAGGTAATTATTTAGCATATACTTAAGCTATATGCGTAAGGATTTTCCCTTTAGCTAGCAACTATAACTAATATAGCTAATTCTTTACACGCTAAGCATAACATAGGCTATGTTAGCATAAACTAGCCTAGTAACGTACTTTACAGGCGAGTTGCTTACACACCTAAGTTGCTTACTTTTACTAAGACTCTACTAAACTACTTTTTTTACACTAATGCATTTCTAATAACACTACTTAGACGCACTAAAAAAAGGTTAGATATAGCTTATACTTTAAGCTTTTAAATAAAACATAAAACTTTTAAAAAAACATGCTGTAGCTATGTATAAAGTTTTTAAAAAAATAATAATAAATAACTATAGCGCTAGATAACTTTTATAAGCTAATTCTATAGCTAACTTATAAAGGCTAAGTAATAATAAAAAAAGAGTAATTATTAAGACTATACTTAAGCTATGTATGCAAGAATTTTTCTTTTAAATAGCATTTATAGCTAATATAGCTAATTCTTATTACGCTAAGCATAATCTAGGCTAGATTAGCATAAACTAGCTTTATATATTTAGAAAGTGCTATTTAAAGCTTAAAGTAATATTTAAGTGTAGTATAACTATAAAAAAGCTTTTTATAAGAGTTTTAAAGTAATTTAAAGCAGGTTTAGCTTTATAAAAAATATTAAAGCTAAGTATAGTATCTAGAATAATAACATAACTGTAACGATTCTCATGAATCGTTCCATCTCGGGTCGCCCGGAACCTATCCGAAGGGTCTCCGTATCGGCTCCGACCCTGGCTCGACCCTGACTCGACCTGGCCCCGACTCTGCCCCGACTCTGCCTGGCCCCCTGCTGTTGCCCCTATTCCCTCATGTATTTAGTCGCACCTTGCCCCTGTAGCTAGCTCAGTAGTTTTCTGATATCCTTTCGTACAAGGCCTATAGGTGTTAATGGCATTCCCAGGTTCAGAGTCCCCACGCACTCCCATATGCCTCTGAGTGGATTCCCACCGTATTCGGACCCATTGTCTTGCCTGCGCCGTTACAATAACGTACCTAACAGGTTGGCCAGCCACACAGGTTAGCTAGCTACTTTTGCTAAGCCCCTACCACACTCTACCTATCTACATAATGCCTTAATAACAACACTAGATTAAATCTTCTAAAGAACATTAAATATAGCTTACTTTTTAAGCTTTTAAATAAGACTTAAAACTTTTTTTATAACATGCTATAGCTATTTATAATGTTTTTTATATAACACTAAGTAATTAACGCGCTAGACAGCCTTTATAAGTAGAATGCTAGCTTAAATTAAGAAATCTAACTAAGCTTAAAAAAAAAGTAGTTATTAAGTATATACTTAAGCTTATTACACATAGATTTTTTCTTAGGCTTATAGCTATAGCTAATATAGCTAATTTCTTGCGCGTAGAGTATAATCTAGGCTAGGTTAGCTTAAACTAGCCTAGTATATAAGTTAAGCACTGCTTTAAGTTTATAATAAAGTTTAATTATAAGTATAAATATAAAAAAGTGCTTTATAAAAATCTAAAAGTTATCTAAAGCTAGTTTTACTTAGTAGCTAACATAAAAACTAAGTATAGTATCTAAGATAAAAACATATATAACGTTAATAAGTTAAGCTTTATTATAGGCTAAATATTAACTAAAAGAGTTATTATAGCTTTAGAGAGATAAAAACAGCTAAAAGTAATATAGTAAAGTAATAAAAAGTAGATAATAGTTATTTAAAGCATTAATATAATAAAGTAAGCTATTTTACTTTTTATTATTTTTAAAAGCTGCTATTACCTTTTTACTTAGTATAAAAAAAGAATTTACTTTAAAACTAGGTTATTATAGTTTCTAAAAATAGCTAGATAATAAATAAGCTTAGGCTATAGTAGTTAAAGCACTTTAATAAGCATATAAAAAAAAGTTATAAGCGCTTATTAGCTATTTATTATTAATAGCTATAAAAGATATAACTTACTTAATTTCTAGTAGTACTATAAAAAAAATAAAATTATTACTATCTACATGCTTTTACACTTATTACACCTTTTATAGCCTTTTAGTGTAAGTTGTTTTACCTCTTTAAAAAAGGTGTATAAGCGCTAAGCTAAAGATTTTATATATAACTAAATTACTTATATTATAAAACTTAAGTTTCTACTATGCTTTATACACACTTATAATATAGTAATTACTTTTAGTAATATTTAAAAAGAGTTTTAAAGTGCTAGTTTAGTTTTATTTAACTTAAAATAAGTTAAAATAGCTCTTAACATCTAGTTACACACTTTATTACTACTACTACTTATTAATAATAAGCCTTAGTAGTTATAAACTTTAAGTAATACTTTTAAATTTAAGTTATAATTAATGCTTATAAAAGTAAAAATTTAGAGGTATATAAATAGCTTACTAACATTTATAGTAAAGGCTTTTAAAAAAGTCTTAAAAAGAGCAGTAATTATTACACATAAGCTAGCATTAGTGTAAAAAAAGATTATAAAGCTTTAAGTAATAAATAAGGCTACTACATAACATAGATTACATAAAAAAAGTAGATTTAAGTAAAAAAAACTTTAATAGTTAAAAATAAAGCTTATTTAACTACTTTAAAGAAGTTTAAAGCGTGTAGTAATAAAAAAAAGCTAAAAACATAAGTGTACACTAAAAAAAAGTAAGCTAAGTTAAAAGTAATATAGGCAGTGTAATTAGACTAGGTATAACTTACATATATGTAAGAAAGTAGTAGAAGTAGACTTTAAATAATATCTTATATTGTATTACTTTATACAGAGCTAAAGTAGGCTGTTTTGCGCTAGAATAGGGTGGTTTTAGTAGAGGCTTAGCAAAAGTAGCCGGCTAACCCGTGTGGCCGGCCAACCTGTTAGGTACGTTATATAACTTTAGTAAAATAAGCTTTATTATAAGCTAAATATCTATTAACTATACTTATACTTAAAACTTTACTTTAAGCTTTAAATAACACTTTATAAATATACTATGCTAGTTTATGCTAATATAGCCTAGATTATACTTAGCGTGTAAAGAATTAGCTATATTAGCTATAAATACTATTTAAAAAGAAAATTCTTACGTATATAGCTTAAGTATAGTTTTAATAATTACCTACTTTTTATTATTACCTAGCTTTTATAAGTTAGCTATAGAATTAGCTTATAAAGGTTATCTAGTGCTATAGTTATTTATTATTTTTTAAAAGACTTTATATATAGCTGTAGCATGTTTTTTTAAAAGTTTTATATTTTATTTAAAAGCTTAGAGTATAAGCTGTATCTAACATTTTTTTAGCATGTTTAAGTAGTGTTATTAGAAATACATTAGTGTAGAAAGAGTAGTTTAGTAGAGTTTTAGTAAAAGTAAGCAACTTAGGTGTGTAAGCAACTTACCTGTGAAGTACGTTAACTTTTTTATAAAAGTAAGTTATAACACTTTAAAAAGTAAACAAAGTAATATTATACTATAAAGTATAAAAAAAATGTTAAATTTAAAATAAAACAACTTGTATAGCTATAAATGAAGTAGATTGAAATTAGGTATTAAATAATAAGTAAAATATGAAAAATAAGGCTAAAATAGTATAGATTTAGCTACTATACTACAAAGTTAACAACACTATAGCTACTACTACTAGTAAGAGTACTAAGTTAAAACTTTTACTATTTATAAAGTAAATATTATAAATTATATTTTTTATTTAATGAATTAATATAAGTGTTGTAAAGTAAAAAGTAATTTAAGTATAAAAATATTATTAAAGTAGACTGTTTGCTTGTGAAATACGTTATTTTATTAAAGTGTGTTAGGCAATTAATATATATAGTTAATATACCTTATACAATCTACATAACAGGTCTAAATTAAATTTAGAAAATAAATAATTCTTCTCTACTATCTATTTTAAATACTAATAAACTTTAGAAATTTTTAACAGGAAAGTTGTAGAATGTAAAATGCTAGAGGAGGTGAGTTTTGGTAGCGCACACTTTACACTAACAGACTTTTGGTTTGTGAATGTACAACTAGCTCATTTTCTCAGGAAGAATCACCAACTCCTACAGCTCTCTAAATGGAGGAGAGCTGGGATATGTATACCCCATATTCGGAGGCAACGTAACATATGCGGAACTTAACCCCGCCAGCCCTCCTCGCTTTACGGCATCGAAGAAGCCAGTGGGCGGGCTTATACCATTACGAAGCCTAAGTGCAATCGATCACGTACCTTTCTCGAGAGAGTGGAAGCGAAGGCAGCAGAATAATAGGACTGCTACATTTTGCTGTCCTTGTCTTGTGCTCCGCCCAAACGCATACCATCATTATTTCTACCTTTCACTGTGCGTTAAGCGTTTAATAGCTCGAGGTCGGCCAAATTTATTGCTCTTGGGAGGATTTTGGAATGGCCAGAGAAGATCCATGAGCTGCCGGTAGCATATATCACTAGCTTAAATCGTATTCAATCTTCATTTTAGGCATCATTCAATGAAGAGATTGAATAAATCAACCTATTACCCCCCTTCACGGTTCCCAGCCTATACTTGCTGAACTACATTTTTCCCGCCGTGATAGTATGCACCAGCCTAATCTTCCCACCTTCAATCCTAAACTCATGACTATCCGGCATTCCACTCGCGCCCCCAAATGCCAACATAACATCACAAGTCCCAACCGTCTCATCACACACATATCGCCGATTCACCAACTGCACACCACTTGGCACACCAACATTGCAGTCCGGTCCAAAGTAATGACCACCCTCAACCCGCTCGCATGGATTTCCCCACGGCACTTTGACACTCTTGTTATTGAAAAGGTCTAGGTATGCATCAGCAGCCGCTTTGATAACAGCACGTGTGTCGCGCTTTGCTTCCGGGATCGGATCTCGATTTTCCTTCAACGAATACGAAAGCGTGCTCTTTGCGTCAAAAAACCAATCCCCCGTGGTCGTTATAATCGATTCCAATTTGTTTACTTTCCCGGATGCTGTATCGAGCCGGATTTGGGTTCCGATAACATACGGTGGCGTGTTATCGGGAGCAATAAGTTCAGTGTAGGTTGCACACTGCGTCGTGTCGAGTAGTGTGCGGTTATGTGAGATCTTGAGGGCTTTGGAGAGCATGCCAGATTTGGTATTCGCTGATTTTGCGTTTTCGGTGTAGGTCATGGAATCTGCGAGGGAAAGCTTGTTTTGGCCAGTAGTTGCGGTAGTGAGGTAGTCCACTGCCGTTTGCTGAAGGATAGCGACGTCGCATTGGGCTGTCGTTGGGCTAGCAAGGAGAGCCAAGGCTCCGAGGATGACAGGAAGCATGACGAGTTTCCAGGTTGATATTGTTGTTGTTGATCAGTTACCCTGGTGTTCGTTTCGGAGGACAATCTTCGAAAAGAGTCTCAACTGCGATAAATATATATTCTCTAACGAACTCGCCGCTGCCAGTGCCGGTGGTTATAGCAGTTGCCGAATCCACTACCTTCCTTGACCTTCATAAACGTAATGCGGGCGATGTTGTAAGTTCGGGTGAATATAGCTCTCTAATTCGCCTGATGCATATATTACCTCGTCAACACTTTTGCCGGATTTAGAACGACCAATGAATGAGTCCCCGCGGGGCAAATATATGAGCGATGCTTAGGTTTGGTGTAACCCGCTGGTAGTGACGCGTCGTGATTATTACCTCGGTCTCCTAAAGGAGCAACCCTGCGTCACGTGTTTCCAGCGGTTCTAAGCCATCTAGGGCTAGAGATCGAGCCTTGAGGCGTAATGTCTTATGAATTAGCAAGAAATTATGATACGGAGTCCGTTTAGAGAGAAGATCGCCCGTCTTTAACGTCGATTTTGACTTCCTGTATCAATCATTGCCCTCATTAGCTCGTTGGATTGAATTCAAGTGAAAGCGGGAGATGGTCATCACGAATTGCGAGAGGTTCTGTCCTAAAGTAGCCAGTCTTGTCCGAAAATCAAGTTATCTGAATTTTAGGATTGTAAACGCTCTGAAGTATAGTGAACTGCGTCCTAATTCACAGATGAGAACATTCACGAAATTACGTTGGGAGCCTTCACCAATTGCACACCCCCTGACGTATGAATAGCGTTTTACGTGAGAGTGTATGAACTCACATGCTCGATAGATGCAACCTCTTCTTGAGTCTTCTCTTCAACATCTAAGCAGAAAATCTCCTGTTAAAGACACTTATCGTAAGACTATATTAAACAACTTCCAGGACCCCTTAATAGGTTTACCTAACTTCATAGCGGCATCTAAGATAAGCGGTTCGTCGGCTAAGGCTATGAGTAAAATGGACCGTGGGTGGTTTGACTACAACTCGCTATCGATGCTGCCACAGCAGGCCCAGCCCCTTTATGTCAACCGCCCTCGCTTACCTCCAGATCACGACACTGCTCCAAGTCGCCATGGAGTAGAATACCACTCCTTCACAGGAGCACCCAAATCTAATGCAAGGAGGGCAACTTCGGCTAGCCAACCCGAGGGTGCTGATAGCGTATCATCACAACCAAAGCAGCAGATTGTGAGACCAATACTTCCTCGAGAGGGACTTCAGTTTTTGAGCCCCCCTCTCTCTCCCAAAAATCGATTATGGGAGGCTAGCAGCATTTCAAATCCTCGCAATACGGGAAGAAACATAGTCGGAAGAGAAAACTTGCATGATGGTGAGCGGAAATCGTATTCTCCTCCTTCTGGATATAATTCCCATTGTGCTTCTGAAGTGGGGAATTCGCAGAATTCGACCCTCTCACTAAATTGCGGCAGTCAGGGAGGGCTGACGAAATCAGTTGCGCTGCCAGATGCTTCGCCAGTGAATAGGTGGCAACAAGCCCAGGAATACCGACGAAAGGTCTATCAAGTACCATACCGCGATCCGCGTTTAGATTTTACCATTGTTGGCGTTGAGCAGAACGCCGAATTTTGGGTTGGCCAGCTGGCTCTGGCCATGACTAACGTTCACAACGTAAAAGACCGAGAAGGCTCGCATGCGATGAAGATGTTCCTTCCTAATGTGTATGACCCTCTTTTGGTAGAAGCGACTTGCAGGGATATACTCCGTTCGTTGATCGACCGCTGCAAGAACGGTTTTCGTGGACCGAATACTTTCAATAAAGCAATCAAGCCTGGGAAAGAATTGGAGGCTGATAAAACAGCGACGTGTGAAGAGAGACTTAGCAATATTATACGAGCTTTAACGTGGAATAAGAGAGTTTGCAAGGACGTGTTGTACGACGACTGGAAGATTCGTTTGCTGGTAAATCACCCCCTGGCGTACGACAGGGAAAAGGATTCTCAGAAAGGGTCGAATGATCAGCGCAGATTAAGACACATTAAAGAGCGAGAAAAATTGAAGAAGACTGAGGAGGAGCTCCGGGCTTATCAAATTGTTAACACGCAGACCCAGCCTGAGAATACGTCTGAACAAACGAATCTTACTAGGAGTCATGACTCTACTGCGACCGTGAGCATTCAGCAAGGCAACTACTTTGCGGAAAGAATTTTACCACATCAACCCCCTTGGACTAGACAGTTGATAGGCTCTTCCTTTTCTTCGCCAATGATGCTAAGTCTCAATTCGCCAGCAACGAGGCAGGGGTTGGATGGGAACAACACAAGAGGGATGAAAAGGACACGACTGGGGGGTGGATTTGATGATGATGTCAACGAAACAAAGCAGGCGAAATCTGAGAAACAGTGAAGTGTTCATAGTTCAAATCAATGAAGTTAAATAAACGCAAAAGGTCGCGATCAAATAAACAGTCGACTACTCCGAGAAATCTGTGATGTTACATCTCTACTCTGCACTAGTCTGGTTTTCGAATTTGCAGCAACCAGGAGATGGGCCGATGAGAGGCTTGGCCGGGTTTTCTTCCCTCAGATCAGGGCATGGTAACCTCATTTCAAAAGTAAACGTACATACTGGACGTTTTCCTATTCCCTGCTTTCACATGACTATGTATTTACCTTATCGATAGATAATGCTGAAATCCTTTACCACCCCCTCGCGCCCCTACTTACGATTTCGGCCGCCTTTTGGTCCTGGGTTGACTCTCGGCATCTATACTTCCAACTCCTTTCAACTCTTATTCTCTCAATCATATAGCCAGTGGTATATCCCCTCATCGATTCCCATGCTTCTATTGTTTGGGCCACACACCCCGATTACTTATTTCATTAGTTTAACACCCGTCTCATGTTCACCGCGCTACATCACTAAGGGTCACCTCCATCAGCATGAATCCTAATTTTCAGCTGAAATAATATCGAGATCATTCTCTACCCAATCGCCTGTATCCTCCAATATTTATCGCGAAAGGCTAATACAGTTCTGTGCTCAGTGTCCTATTCCCCCAAATATTCCGTGCCTTGGTTTGATCTTTTCTTCATTCCCTTGATCAGCGTGCCCAATAAAGCGTACTACTGACTGTACTGGGTACGCTGTACAGTTGATTTGAGCCGTACGTACGTATAGCAATATTCTGCACGTGCGTACAATAGCTGTTGTCCCGAGTACTGTACGTAGTAGAGCACCTAGTTACCTTTTGGGTTAGGTTTATTTAACCTGATTTATTTTTTAAGAGCTCTTGGGGGAGCTTCTCTAAAGGGGCTAAGACGGATAACACGCATATAGAAAATGTTGTTACAAAAAAATACTTGTCTTTAATTTATAGTACAGCTTTTATACTACCTAATTTAGATTTAAATTTACTCTATCTATAGTAGTACTAGAGATAGAGTTTTTAGCTAGTGTTCTACTGTTTTTTACCTACTAAGCGTAACTCTGCTTAGGCTAAGAAGTCTACGCTAGAGATAGACCTATTTAAACATTAGCAGAGACTAGAGTTAAAAGTAGAGTAGCTTACTTTTTAATAGATAGGAATAGATAGACTATCTATACCTCTAATAAGTTGTTAAATCTAAGAGAATCTTGTTACTAGAAAGTATATTTATTAATAACTACTATAATAAGCTGCAAATAGACATTTTTAACGGTTATAAGTGCCTGAGATACTAGAATAGAGCAGGTTATATTAGAATAAGGTAGTATACAAAGAATATTAATAAGAGTAATTTACGCAGTCTTATAAAATGCAAAGAGAACAAAAATAGAGCTTGGTTTACTATATAATTAAAGATTATATAATTCGGAGTGGAGGAGTGTTGGCGGATAGTACTCGCAGTTTAGGTCTCCAGTGGCAGTGTTCTGAAACAAGACTCGTGGGGGTGATGCGGCAATATTTTCTTCTCTAGTCAAGCTAAGGGCCGCATCAGCTTCACAATCTTGGGTTTTAGACACTGGGACCGGCCGTGCTCTGCATCGCCGGTTTTTCTTATCTACAGTTTCGGAGAAGGCTGGTCCAAGGAAATGTTCGACTGTTGGCTCGGCGTTTTAATCACACACGGGCGCCGGAGCGGTCCTGGAGTGGAGGATAGAAGTTTTTATTATCCCCGTATCAACTGCTAAGATAAGACGCAATGTGAATAACTACGCGGGATGGGCCAACAGGTCTAAAGTCTATTCTCTAAACAGCCAATATTGAAAACTACATGTTGAATTTTTTCGTCCAGCCTAGTTCATCGATCGAGTGTACGGCAGCCTAAGACAGCCACATGGTAACTTATATCGATCGCCCATCATTAGGGAGAATCTACCGTCAGGATCTTAAGTAGTTTCAGACTGCTAAGGAGGAAGCAGCACCGTTGACACCCTCCAGCCTTCTAGTTCTCCTGGAAGGAAACAGCATGTTTGAAACAGTCTTACAGTTTTACGTCTCCAAGAAGAGGGGGAAACCCATAAATATTGCTTCTGGTCATTTAAATGCCCCTAAAAGAAGCCAATACACCTCTCATGACTCCCAGGGGATATATAGTCTCTAGTGGAGAAGGTGGACGTAATGGTCTGAGGATCTAGTTGATTGTAATCTCGCAGCGAGGGGAGAGAAGCCGGAATAAGCATCAGATGTGCGTTACAGTCCCCCAGCAGGGAGGGAGAAGGCTATTGGTGATTCTCTGATGGATTTTAGTACCCAAAAGGTGCATGGTGGGGTGCAGTGTGGGTTTTTAGTGCCCAATGGAGAATGAATTATCTTAGCTCGCGGTTTATTCCCTAGATTGTATGGCTGTGGATTGGAGCAGAGAAGGTAGGCCTAGAGGACAGTCAGAAGGAAGATACTGTAGAAAGGATGGCAGGAAAATGAGCTGGGAGTGTGTCAGGAGGGCTGGGGGGTTCGAGGGAGTGGTAGAAAGTATGGCGAAGGAGTGCAGTGTACGCATGATCTAGCAAGGAGAGAATACGTGCATCTGTATGTGCGTGTAAAATATAAATGCGAATGAATGGGGTTGATTGACAGGGGACGTTGACGCTGATTCGTGCAGTGTCTGCCTAGCGAATAGGGATGCGATGCGGGTCCTGGAATGCGGACGAATACTCTAAAATGATTCAAACGGAAGAGAATTAATAGAACGAATAATATACATACAACTCCTATGGCCACCCCAAACAACCAACTCCAAAGGCCTATGCAATCTGCTCTCATCTTCTCTCCTCCCTCCACCCCCAAAAGCCCTCCCCATATGATCCCCTATACCTACAACCTACTCTCCCCAACCCACCCCCCGGCTCTCTCCCACCTCTCCGGCCATACCTTCCCCAACCCCTCCCAAATATGACTCACAAACTCAATCCCAACCCCCTTCTTAACCTCCTCCGGCAAATCCCTAACATCCTTCCTATTCCCCTCCGGCAACAGCACTCTCTCCACCCCGGCTCTCAACGCTCCAATCAGCTTCTCCTTAATGCCTCCTACAGGAAGCACCCGGCCCCTTAAGCTCACCTCTCCTGTCATCGCTAACGTAGTAGGAACCGGTTTACCAGAGAAGAGGGATATGAGCGCAACCGTATGGGCAAGACCTGCAGACGGTCCGTCTTTTGGTATCGCGCCGGAAGGACAATGGACGTGGATACTGCGGTTTTTCATGATATCCTCGTCCTCAGCAGCTGATAGCCCGAGCTCAAAAGCGTGCGCTTTAACCCACGAGAGCGCAACTTCCACGCTTTCTTTTAGCACGTCTCCGAGTTTGCCCGTCAGTTGCACACGTCCTGTTCCAGGCATATCCGCGATCTCAATAAAAAGAATAGACCCCTGGCCACCGGTGGAGTATGCGACAAGACCGGTGACTACGCCAGGACGAGAATGCTGCTCAGTGAGTTCCTCCGTAAATTTCTCAATGCCGAGGATACCGTCCAAATCGGACAATGTAACGACGGGGTTATATTGGGGCAGGGTTTCTGTGTCTTTAGCAGTTGCGTATTCAACCGCTTTGCTGCGACATACGGAGCCGATTTCGCGCTCGAGATTGCGGACCCCAGATTCGCGTGTGTAGGATGTGATGATCTTGTCGAGCACATCGGTGGGCATGTCGATGTTATCTGGATGGAGGCCATTAGTCGTGATTTGTTTCGGCAACAGGTGGCGGGCTGCGATATGCCGTTTCTCAAGCGTTGTGTAGCCCGATAATTGGATGGTTTCCATGCGATCGAGGAGAGGGGGTGGGATAGTGTCGAGCGAGTTGGCCGTGGCGATGAAGAGGACTCTGGAGAGATCAATGGGGATATTGACGTAGTGGTCTGTGAAAGTGTGATTTTGTTCTGGGTCCAGGACTTCCAGCATAGCGGCGCTGGGATCGCCGTTGTAGTTTGATACACCTAGTTTGTCGATCTCGTCGAGCAGGAAGACTGGGTTGGCGACGCCCACTTTCTTCAGTCCGTTGACGATGAGGCCGGGCATGGCGGCAACATATGTTCTTCGATGTCCGCGGATCTCAGCCTCGTCACGGACGCCTCCGAGCGAGATGCGGTGAAACTTGCGACCAAGGGCGGTGGCAATGGATTTAGCGAGAGAGGTCTTGCCAGTGCCAGGAGGACCGACAAGGAGGAGAATCGGGCTCTTATCGACCATCCTCTTCTTCTCGAGCAACTTCAGCTCAGCCTCTGAAGGCTCCTTCATGACCTTCTCTTCCTTGTCCTTCTCTTTCTCGCCCTTCTCCTCAATTGGAGCAATCGATTTCGCAAGTGCCTTGATCTGGTCATCAATATTCTTATTCGCCTGCTCCTTGAGCTTCAACACAGCCAGATACTCCAACAACCTCTTCTTAATCTTATCCAGCCCATAGTGATCATCATCAAGCTGTTTCTTCGCCTTAACTAAAGTCTTCGCATCTAGCTGATCCACTGTTGTCTTAGTCCACGGAATCTCGGCTAGATTTTCCAGGTAATTCCGACAGACCTGGTATTCAGCTTGCACAGGATTCATCTTCTGTAACCGTTGCAGCTCCCTTTGCGCAACCTTGTCTGCGTCTGGAGATAGCTTTGCATCCTGCAACCTTTTCTTCAGCTCCTCGAGCTCGTTGGCTTCTTCCTCTCCCCCTTGTCCTGGAGCGCCTGGGAACCCAGGGAATCCGGCGGGCATACCATTACTGCCACTATTAGTCATGCCAGACCTTCTCTTTAGAGCCTCTTGTTGTATCCGTCGCAGCTGGTCGATATCAAAGCTCCCATGCGCAACGGGTATTGTTGTACTTGTAACTGTTATCCGCGTGCTCCCTTGTATACTGCTGATCTGCCGCTGAAGAATCTCAATGACCCGGTCTACCCTGTCTTTAACATCTATCGCAGCCAGCACGCGCAGCTTCTCTTCGTGTGTACAGTCCACCACATTCGCCATGAAATCTGCCAGCGACCCGGCTTCCGAGAGATCCTTCCTCGCGATGTATAGCTCTAGTCTTCGAGCGACGATGGGCGAGAGGGAAACGGTCGGAGTGCGTGGCAGTATCGACGATAGCCGGACGAGCGCTAGGAGTTCGCGTGACAGTTGTTTGAGAAGGTTAAATTGTTCTGCTAATTCGGGGTTGGCGACGTCGACTGTGGATATTAGCATCTCATCTGATCTCATATCACTGCACACCCCACACCCCCAATCGTTGCTATACAAAGGATGAACGGAGAGAATCGGGACGTCTTACCATGCTCATCAACCCCCCTCAATTCCCCCTCAAAATAAGGCCGCTCCTGCACCACATCCAGCACCTCAACCCTCTCGAGTCCTTCAACTACCAGACTCAGCTCCCCTTGCCGTCGTCCCTGTACCCCACTCACCTTCGCCACACACGCGTATCCAAATACATCTTTCTTTGTCGCATTCACTGGATCTGTTTCAAACCCCCCAGGCTGCTCCCCCTTCGCGTCCCCGTCCTCGATCAGAAGTCCCCCCTCCCTACCCACCAACGCACTCCTCAGCGGCACACACGCGACAGTGATTGCAGCATCTGGTTTCGCGGTCGGCGAAATCGAGTATATTTTTGCAAGGATGGCGGCGACGTCGGCGCGATTGGTAATGGGGACTTTGAGTGTTGTGCCTGGGAGGACAGCGAGAGGGGGGGCAAGCGGAATTAGGGGGAGGACATCAGTGGGCGTGGGAGAGGTTTTGGAGGGGGATTTGCCCATTGCGAAGGTGAGTTGGTGAGGTGAGGGGCGGTGGTGAGATCGGAAGTCGGGGGAGAAGTGAAACCCTGGGCGGATGTAGATGTGGATGTGGATGTCGATGCGGATGTGAGGAAGGTTCGATGCGGATGCGGATCCGGAGTTGAGTTGCTCGTGACTGTGAATGGTGCAGACGCCGAGAATCCCGAATGTCGCTCACTGCAATAATGCGAAGAAAAAAAAATAGAAGGCAGCGCAATTAAAAGAATGGGAAACGCGATTCGAAGAGTGAGGGGTGACAGAAGTGGTGGGATATACAAAGCCGAGTCGTGGTTCTGGAAGATGCTTTGAGGTTCCGGCTTCAACATGGGTCCAAGCCGAGGTAAAAACTATAGTCACGTGATATATTAGGCTTAAATTGCCTGGGTGGACTTTCACGAGATTTTGGGAGAGCTGATTTGGAGGAAATCAGTACTCTAGGATTGGATGTGGCTTCCTAGGCAACTTTTGTTAGCTACTTCAAGTGGCTAGGCTTGAGGTTATGGGGCAGAGTCACGCGACTTGCACTTTCATGACCTGTGCCAGAAATCGGCTATTGTTATAGGTAAGATCGGAATTGTCCTTCGCCATGGCGTGTCAATTGAAATGCACTCCACTCCGGGCTTACATCTCACTGAACCGCCCAATCTTTCCGCATCTGCACCAAAATCCTGAAATCCTCTCGCACCATAGCATCCTTATCTCGCCTCGGTCGGCCAGTCTTCCAGCCCTCACCCTTCGCCTCCTCAATAATACTTACCATCAAGCTCCTCCATCAGCCTATCCACCACCACCTCCATCTCCTCCAAGCACGCCGCACAATACCACCTCGTAAACTTCTCCGGAAACCACTCACTCACACACTTCCGATGGAACTTTCCAATCTTGCAGTCCTTGTACCCACAATCCACAACCTCGTTCATGCCCTCCTGTTTCACACTCGCGCGCTGACAATAGCAGATTTTCTCTCCATGCTCTGCGCCGTCGAATTCCTTCAGGATACTATCTAGTTCGTCAATCGTGACCAAGCTCTTGGAAGAATTGTTTTGGATCGCGAGGGCGTTATAGTTACTCTCCTGCTTCATAGCCGGTCCGGTAGGATACCCACGTCCGTATGCCTCGACTTCCTTGCGTAGGGCAAGGGGTGCGTAGATCCATGGGTTCCTGCCGTCGTGTTGTGTCTTTGTGAGCCACTGCTCGAGCTCCTTGTCGACAAGCATCATGCGATTGGCAGTAGCTTCGTGGGTGTTGAATAGAGTATAGAGGGCTTCAGCACGCTTGCGATTGTATGGGCCATTGATGCGTGGGGTGGCGGCGGGGACCATGATGTAAGTTAAGTTCTTGTATGGGTTCCATTTTGAGCTGTGGTGATGCCATGGACAGTCCATGAGGCCTTTGACTTGGAATGGGCATGATTGGCATGTCTGACATGATTCGCAGTGGTCGTTTAGGGGCGCGTTGGTGCCGACAGTGAGGTGTTCAAGAAAGGAAAGCCAGTCGGTGTCTTGCTTTGGTGGTGATGTAGGAGAGAAAACAGGCCCTGGAATTTTGGCCGATTCTTCTTGGGCAGGGGCAGGGGCAGCGGACCAGACACCAGACACGGTGTTCGAAAGGATATGCAGTTCAGGCTCCTGGATCTCGAGGTCTACAACGATTGTCGGCGGAGGAGACGAGACTTCGGACACCGGCTTCGAGGACGGTGGAGTTGGTGGGCGATGATCTGAAAGTATGAAGGTGTCTGTCTCTTTAATAGCGCTCTTTGCTTCCTTTCGAGCCTTCCACAGCTCATTGCGGACCTTCTTCTTCACCTTCTTCTGTGAGATTGGAGGAGGTGAATCTACCTTCTGGTTTGGTGTATTCCAAACCAGCTGGTCAACTACTGGGTTTGGCTGTATTCGTTGCACTGGCGGAGCGGCAAGCTTCTTCTTGTTCGTTATATCCGTGAGAGACGAATATTTGAACGTAGGCTTAGGTATCCCCGTAGGTTTTAGAGTGGCGGTAGGCGTAGGAGACGCATTACATCCGATATGGGCAATAGGCTTAGGTATCCGTGAGGGAACAGGAGTAGGTCGACGACCCTGCTGTAGATTGACAATAGACAGGATCTTCACAGGTCCAGAACGGGACCTAGACCGAAGCGGTTGGGTAGGAGTCATAGCAATCATTCCATGCTGAAGATGCCTCGTATCTGCCTTGAGTGGGTCGAACTTTTTGGCATCTAAGTCTGATTCTTGTCCGGTTGATGAGTCTTTGGCGTTGGGAAAGGACGCAGGCGGCGTGTTCTCCTTATCTCTGGATTGAGTCATCGGGGTTCTCTCATCCTCTTCGTCCTGCTCTGGGGTGTCAGGCCGTATGATCCGCTCTCCTGTAGCCCAGTCAATAACGCGGTGTCGATCAACAAGAATGTCAAGGCTAGCTCGGTTTGCCCAACGAAGATAGGCCGCTCGCCGCATGCGCGTCTCCAGTTCCTCCTTCTTGACCAGAATAAGATCCTCGACCACGAGCTTTGTAAACTCGTCCACTTGAGTCTCGAATGTTTTCATCTCCTTACCGCGCAAGCCTCGACCGTGGGCGTTCTTCTTTATCAGATCGATAATCTTGAGTTCCATCAGAATGCGATTCACTTCACCTTCAAAATCCACCTCTGCTTTGTCGATCCTCGCAACACTTCGCACGGCAGAGCGAGGCATGCCGGAATTGTAGACATGAGCATTATATCGCAGACTACGCTCAATCTCTTCGAGCTCTTCAATGCTGAACGGGCCCTCCGCAGCTTCCGACATGTCACCCGGGGAATGAAGCACAATACCAATATACTCAATCTCTTGTTGAGTGATAACCTTGGGCCTAGTAGCAGCCTTGATAAGCCTCTTGACTTCTTTCTTCTGCTTCTTGTTCATCTTCGGCGCATCATTGTCGTCACCATTACTCTCCACACTGAGTAGACTTAGACTACTTAGACTACTAAGACTACTTGGCGGACGCTCATCGCGCTCTCTCCACGGGCTTCCTCTTGGGTCCTCTGACACCAGCGCATTTGGGAAGGTGCATGTGTCGTAGATGCCGCGCACCAACTCGGCGAGCTCGGCATGTCGTCGATGATGACTCTCATCGGATCCGTTGCACGACGCACATTGATGGGCACGACCACGCATGAACAGCGCCTGGTGAAAACGAATGCATGGCTCTGAATGGGTACCTAGACATGAAGACTTGGCACCAGGATGTGAGAGAGGACGCTCGCAGAAGCCGCAATGGTGTCCTGGATTTATTAGCGCGAGGCATCTTCTGGGACTAAAACCGGTGAAGGGAGGAATATGGGTACAGCTCTTCCAACCTCGACGATGGGAAGCTCCTATCAATTGAGAAGGGAAGAGGGGTAGCAGTATCTGCAGTGGCCTTGTTGGCCATCATGATGCATTCGACTGCCTTCGCAAAGAAACAGAAGGGGCACCCGGGTACATTGGCCGTGCCTTTAATATGCAGAGCTGGTGGCAAAGGAGCACTGCAAGTAGCAGAGAACCAGGTGAACTTACGTAGACTAGGAGAATCTTCCCAGCGAAATAGTAGACCGTTGGCCATGATGAGATTGGGTCCGAAGAGGCCAGAAATTAGGTTAGTAAAAAAGTTGGGTGGATCTTGAGCTAGTGTGGCATTTGAGTGGGAGACAGGTCGCGGCGCCAGGTATTCGATGTGGAGCGGGGTGTTTTGAGAGAGCGTTTGCATGCAATAAACTAGCTCCATGGTCGCACGAGGCAGACGCCTGCTCCCGTGATATCGATCGTAGATTCTCACGCGGCCCTTGAGTCACTGCCCGTGGTAATGTTTTTTCATCGCTATTGTGAATACACTTTTAGGCTACGATAAAATGAACGACTTCTGGTCAGATCAAAAACAGAGACTACTCAAACAATGGACCAAGTGGCGAGGTCAAACACTGCTATCGAACAAGTCAGCTTTGGGACGCCCACTATTTCGCCAATTCAAGATTCCGTCTAGGCATCACGCACAAGGCGAGCTCCAGCCCAGACGTAAGGATAGCTTCGCTGGTACCAGTTGACGCTTGCCAGAAGTTAGATCTCAATTTCAAACGCCGAAAAGATGATGGATGCTTACAAAGTCTTACGTCCGGCTAGGCGAGGGTGCGTTGCCCAGGAACCTCCCAAAGTAATATTATGCTTTCCATCAAAGAAATCAGCTGACGAAAATTAGAACGAATATGTCACGACCCAAGCGTCAATAAATACCTGTATACGCAGGGTATAAGTCCATCGGTTCGAACCCCTTATGCTTCTCCAGTACAGAGCTAGTCCACTCCCACACCCCACCCAAATCAGCTTGGCCACAGAGCTTGTTTCCCTTTTCCGCGACAGAAACGGGGTGCCAGTGTTGGAAGCCCACATTGATTCCTTCAAGGTCAATGAAGAGGTCATGCGGATGAGGACTGGATGCAGTACTGGAGATGCCATTAGACGAACAGCATGATGGTGGCGATTCCTCCACACCGTCGTTGACAAGGTGGCTGCAAAAGTTAGATGGGCGCTACAGGAAGTCAGAAACTTACCCGTTGACGGCGGGAATCGTCTTTCCCAGAGACTTCTCAAACTCCTTAGACTTGGAGCGGTCAACATAGCTGTAGATGCTTCGGACTTCTTCCATCGTAGGAATGCGACCACCCATCCACCGGGCACAACCAGCCAACTCATCGTAAGACGCAACTACAGGCCAGTTCAAAGCGTATTGTAGAGGAACTGTACCATACACAGTGCGGACATACTTTCCATAAGTCACACTCCGAGAGTAGCCATTAGCGCCATTGGCGTGACCATTGGCCCCGTTCATAACGCTGTCCCTCTTGACCATATCGGCTGCCTCCCCAAAAGCATACGGCTTGTCACACCAAGAGGCAGGAATGGTAGTCTTACCTGTCTTCTCTAAGTACTCGGCATATTCTCCATTTGTGATTGGTCGGGCTTTAGCACTGAAGGCCTCGACACGAACATTGCGCTTCGGCTTTTCATTGTCCCACCCGAAGTAGCGCTCTGGTCCACTCGTACTTTCTGGATCATCCAGTCCAATGGTAATGTCTGACGCTGGAATATCAAACCATTCATTCTCAACTGCAGTCACCTCAGCCTGTCGGGCGATGGCTTCGAAATCCGGCTTGACGGTACCAGGTGGCGGGAGTATCTTCTCGCTTTGGAGGAGCATGTAGAGCAGAGTCTCTAGATGCATAGCTTCGTGCTCAAATCCAATCCACATGGCACGTGAGACACGCCGGTTGGTAAAGGCAGCCCCAGAAGTGTAGAGGTTCTTCGTCTTTTGTCGAATTACGTCCTGAAACTTGAGTATCTCCTCTAGATTAGGCCAGGTCTCCGGGATCTCGCTGTGGGAGTGACAGTGGTCAGGATTCTCAACGTCAGGATCTATTCCGCGCTCGAAGATCTTGCGAAAATATACTGGTTCGGTTGGAACGCAGCCAGTAGCACGAGAGATATGGATATCCAGGAACGTAGGAATATGTCCGAGGTAAAAGATACAATCGTTCCGGAGCTTGATGGGCTTAGCGAAGAGCTCTTGTTCTGGTATCATTTTGCGGGTAACGGCGTCCCAGGCCGCCCAAATTTCAATCCACTCTGAGATTGATGGTACGGGCTTGGCCGCGTAATTCTTTGGTGCGAGTGGGAGGAAGAATTCGGGCTTAGAAACCAAGTGAAGACCTGCTCTGAGATTAACGCCAACATATTTCTAGCGACCATGCTGTAGGAACTCACCGTAGTCTCCTTTCGCGTTGTTCCAAACGCTATTCTCAACCAATCCTGCGCGTTTCCAGAGGCCAAGAATTTCCTCACGGGACCACTTGTAGCTCTCTTCGATCCGGATTTTCTCGCCCTTGGGGATCGAAATTCCATCAATCACAACATCCCTGAGGGGACTTACAAAGGCGTGGTGTCGGCCGGCGATTCTATCGTATTCTCCAATCACTTTCCAGTCGTCAAGGTTGAAAACGTCACCTTTCTCCATAAGGCGATTGGCATGTTGGAGGCCATTGAGGATGAAATCGTGGGTCACATTCTCCCTGTCATTGTAGGCATGGAAAACTCGATCTGGTTCCTTGCAGGAGTCGATGCCAATCAGCAGAGTATCGCCGGGTTGGAGCGCATCTCGAAAGCCGGACAGGAATGGCGAAACCTCATATCGCTTGAAGTTGCCTAAGCTGGAGCCGAGCCAAAGGATGGTCTTGGGCTTTCCGCTGACTTGTGGTGATTTGAGCCATTCCAAGCCATGATCGTAAGTACCATACAGGCCAAAGCACTTGACGTGCTTATAGGTAGGGATCTCGGCAAAAGTACGCTTGAGCTCCTTCAACGACAAGTCAAGAGCGTAGTACTCGACATGTTTCCCGAGACGGTCAATGGCTTGGAGAAGGATGTTGACCTTCCGTAGATTGCTACAGAGTTATTAGTACTGACGATGTCCGCCGACGGATTTGTTAGCTTCCGGGACGCAGGTTCCTACCCGCTGCCAAGTTCCACGACAATCGATCCTGGCCGAATGTGTTGAGCAATTCGATCTGCGTATGTCTCCAATACCTCAATTTCGGCATTGGTGAGATAGTACTCCTCCAAGTACGTAATTTTCTCAAAGAGACGCAAGCCCGCCTCATCGTAGAGCAGGAGGGTGGGCAAGGTTTTCTCGCCGCCGGCATTGGGTCTCAGCCCCTTCTTGATGTCCTGCAGGATGTCGAATTCGGTAGCGCCGACCCTGATGTCGAGGATGTCGGTTGCCCCGCTGGTTGCCATGACTTGGTAGGGCGTCGAATCGTTTGAGGGAGCGTTCGATGCCGCTCTTGGAAGAGCCGCGTTAATAGTCATCCCGCAAAGTGGCACCAAGATTGCGTGATTTATATATGTTCACAACAGCTTCGATAGGCGTGGAAAGGACGAAGGTAGAGGTGCGTTTAGACCGGCAGAGTGGATTGAGGAACAGAGACCATCAGCTACCAGGAACACTCGGCTAGTGCATTGCATTCATATAAAATACTTTTCGAGGTAGCAAATCAAGGGCCCGGATATACTCACGATGGGGACTGGTCCGATGGCAGTGCTTACTGGGAAGGAACCTGAGAGGACGGATTCCTCATCAACCCCACAGCCACGGCTCGCGCATAGGGCGCGGATGCGAGAGGAGCACAATTAGCAGGGCCCAAACGTACGACCCGGGACGACTACGGCGTTCAAATGACGTTAGGAAGAGGTGTAGCGGCAGAGCGGAAGACCGGTTTCGGCATCATGGTGTGGAGAACAAAGGCTGACATTTGCGACCAGCCCTAGAGGACACCATGCAAGGGCGAGCGCCCAGCAGGCACCGATCCACCAACTGCTTGCCCCAGTGGATGAATGTTGCATCCTGCTTTCCTGTCGCAAGAGTCCGCTGCCGTAGAAGTGGAGAAGTAGCACTCAAGGTCCTTGGATTGCGGGGTTCGATTGCGTCAACAGGGCATGCAGCACAAGTAGCGTCATGAGTGCATCAGGCGGGGTTTGACAAATTCAACTGCGCGGGATACTTGTGAAAGGGTGTGAAGGATGTAGCTCACTGAGACATGCAGCCACAAAATGCACTGGCAGAGTTTGAATCTTGATGTTAGCGCGGACACAGAGGAGGTCGGTTGGAGCGTCATCAATTCTGGATGGCTAAAGTGCATCTCCGTCTGGAGCCCATCTAAGGCGGGATACGAGGTGTGAATAACGTTAAGTAAGCTTCAATGATCGCGGAATCAAAATAAATTCCGCCAGAACACGTCGTCGCGAAGAGCGGCAGTACGTGGGTCAGAGCTCCGAAAATTAGTGATCTTGCCAAAAGGGGTTTAGGCCATTCGATGTGAACGGAACGGCCGGAACTCTTATCTCAGCTAGCTCAGCCGATTGGGGAGAGAAGGGGCGAAGCTCCGACAGGGGCAGAGCTCCTGATACCCTTGCTAGTCAACATAAACCCATGCTAGTCGCGCCGGTGGCGCTCACGCTATCTTTCTAGCCAATAAGGATGCTAGATTTAGCTTCTCTCCCTAGCTGTCTAAGGGACTTTAGTAATTAATTATATAAATAACTAATTTTAGTGCTTACTTTTTATATAAAAATATATTATATTAATATTTACATATTTTTCTTTTTTTCTAAACATTTTTAAACTTTAGGCTAACAGCTACATAACTTCTTACTATTATCTATTAAATTATTACACATTTTGCACGTTATTTACTGTATAAAATAGCTAATAAGTCTACTAGTCCTACCCTGCGTCTGCGCTAGCGTTTATAACTCTTTTATCTTCTTTTAGCAGATAAGCTGCTACCTTCTTTATTATTACTTTTATTATTACCTTTTTTTATGTTCTTCTTACCTTTATTTATAGTTGCTGCTAAGCCTTAGGCTTTAGTTTTAATAACTTATTCTTTTATAACTTTATAAGTAGCAGGCGTGTCTACTTAGCGCGTCTAGTTGTCTATACCTATTTACACCCTAAGATTAAAGAAACTAGAGTAGGTTCTAGTGTTAATAAATAAGCTATAAATGCTAATAAGTAAATTTATTAAGTTATATTTATAAAACCTGCTATTATTAAAGGCCCTACTACTTAGTAGATGTAAGATAATTCTTTAATTAGCACTAAAATAGCTAAATATTTATGTAGCATTAAGTAAAAATAATAAGTCTACTAGTGTCTTTAGTTTTATTATATTTATAAAAGAACTTAATAGTTTTATTAGGCAGAAGTTTTTTAACTAGTATAATATAGCCTTTAGGCTAGATAAAGTTAATTTTACTAGGTTAAAGTTAATTATAGCTAATTAGGCTCTAAATTAAAGCAGGTTTATTAAGAAACTTTTATAAAATAAGTAGAGTGCTTAGGGCAGTTATAGTAAAGCTAAGAGTTTATAAAATAGTAAGGTGTATCTAATTACTTTTATTATCTTATATTACTAGGCCTAGAAGAGATGCAACTACCTTACCTGCCTACTAAGTCTATATTTGCATAGTAGTAGTACAAAACAGCGTGTTATAGAGATGTTGTTAGGCTTAAGTGTTTATAACTTATATAAAATTATAAACTAAAAAGTTAATAAAATAGTAGACTATATAAAAAGCTTATAAGTTATAATATTATGTTATATAGCTTATGTCTTACTTAATTTTAAGCTGCTAAGTCTTACGCATAATTCTTAGTTAATAATTATGTATAATAATTATAACTTTACTAACTAGACTTATAACTATGCTGTAGGTGTTGCAACAGCTATCTAGTAAAACCTAATAACAGCGCTTATTATAAAATGTCTATAGATCCCTAAGGATAGTTTAACCTAGTCTATGTTTAATCTTAGCATAGCATTGCAGCCTAATTAGATCTGTATAGCGCCTAGCATAATTTAGGACTATATAAGCAAGCAAATTACATTATGCTATATGTTGCGCACTATAGCTGCTATCTACAGTGCTACTATATTAAGAGTCTTTATTAGCTTAGAGGACTAGTTACTATTAATGCTAGCTGTTAAAGTCTTACTATGTAAAAAACCTAGCTAGGTAAATTATCTAAAAGTAATATTTTTTAATAAAGGCGTTATTAATAAAACTTATAAAGTATATAATAATATTTAGCTTTAGTAGTTAAATATTTCTATAGATCTAGAAAAGCTAAGCTTTAAAACATAGCTATAGATAGTATAAGGCAACTAGAAAACTGCTAAGTTTATACACAGTCTTAAAAAAGAGCAGCGCGGCGCGTTCTAGCTATATAATAAGAGGGATTAGATAATTAAACTACTTATATATTTTTATATTCTTTAAGCACTTACTTACATAATTATTTATACGCACTTTAATACACTTAAAAGTATAGACTTTTTTAGCAATCTTTTACATAATATTATGCGCTTAAACTATGCTAGTATTAATTAAGGCAATGTTAAGTATTATATAGCTATGCTGCTAATACATCTAAGCTAGAGCGCCTAAATAGTTGTGTTGTTCTACTAGAAGATAGGCAACAGTAGATATCTCTAAGGCTAGGTGCCAGATATCTATGCAGCAGATGTCTAGTAATACTAGTAGGGTCTTTATAATAAGGCTATTAGTTAGCTCTTGCCTAACTAGTACATTAAGTTGCTTAAGCAGATACATAAGAAAGTCTTTACACTTACTATATAAAAAGGCTGTAATAATTTTAAAGGTAACTAGATAATAACATATTAGTTTTTTTAAAAAATTAAGATGTTTTTTACTTTATAGCATGTAGTTAAGTTTAGTAATATTAAAATTATTTATTACTTAATTAATTTATTAGCTGTATTCTTCTTTAGATCTAGTTAAAAGCGCTACAGTACTAAGCTGCTACACCTCTGCTAGTTAGTCTTAGATAGAGTGTTAACTCTAACACTTTAGTAGTCTATACTTACCTCTAAGTTAGTTAATGTACATAAAAAGCTAAACACTTTTTAAGTAGTTAATATTATGCTTAAGCTTATAAACTATATGTATAAGCTTAACATGCAGCACTTTAAAAATAAGACTTATAACATAAACTTTACTTTTAGTTATTTTACACTATTTTACTAGTTTTATATGCAACTCTGTGCGCTAATAAAAGGCGCTTTTAGAGAGAAGAGCAAAAACAAGCATACGCAGCGCAACATTAAGCTAAAGACATTTGCCCTTACTATTTATTTACTAAGTTATAGGCGCTGTAAGCGCTTAACTAGTTAGATTAACTAAGAGCTTTCCTAGCCTATTATAAGCTCTAATATTATTGCTAGTAGTATTAAGTTATTAACATTAAAAGTTATAAACTTTAATATTAGTAATGTTATATCTAGTAATTATATACTAGCACTAGATGTGACTAATCTAGCAAGCATTAGCGCAGAGAAGTTATGTTATATTAATGTAATAAAATTTATAAAAATAGTTAAGGGCACAACCTATAGTAACTCTAGGGGTTTAGTTAATAATCTAATTAATAGTAATTTTAATAAAAGTCTTAATAAAGCCTTTAAAAATAAATAAAGTAATTATATATTTTTATTTTATATATACTTATAGTAAGCACTTTTGTAATGTATAACAGCGTTATAAAGCACTATTTACTTAGTGTAGCTAATTAGACGCTGTGCGCTGTTAGTTGCTTACTAGTTTTAATAACTGCGTAGTGTTAGGTACATAACTACTCTCTAGTCCCCTTATATTAGCTTGTACGCCCTTGTCTAACCCACAGCCTATCTACATATTGCATGTATTAAGACAAATTCCTAGCTATAGATTACCTAGTTGCTAGCATACTATTATAGTTTTATACGCTTACTATTTCTAAAAGTTCTCTAATAATAATAATGCTTATTAGTTTAATAGTTTTAAAAAGTTTATAAAAATGCTTATATCTTACTTAAATAATTTAAAGACATAGTAGCAGTAAATAAGGTTATATAAAGGCTTAACTATATTAAAGTAAGACTATAGTTAAAAATTAAAGAAGCTAAGGCTATCTTAATTACAGTAATGTTATGTTACTGCGCGTTTTAATTATTATAAACTATCTACTTATATTTACTACCTGCTGTTTAACATAGTTTAACTCTGTAACACTAATTAATTAATTACGTGTAACATATATTTACTTTAGTAAGACTTTTTTTTTTTTTATTTACTACTGCTACCTAGCCTGCTTATTATTAATCTAATGCCTTATAATTACTTATATATATTATATCTTACTTATTTTTACCTACTTTTACCTCTAAATTAGGCAATTTTTAGTTGTAATTAGTAAAAAATGTTTAAAAAGTTATAATTTTTTATGCTAGTTAAACACTAGCGCTTTCTATATCTTTTTAAATAATTTTATAATGTGTACTTTTACTACTAGGCAGAAACTCTAGTCTAGTTAGGTGCTCTTGCTACTAAGGTAAGAGCTAGAGTATATATAGGCCTTTTTTCTCTAG